GCATATTGTCAAGTGGCACATCATCTGTTATATTAATTGGTAATTTTTCAAGTACACTAGGTCCTTTATGGTAATACTCATTTGTTTTATTTCTAAAACTTTCATTTGTTCTTAAAGAAKAATCCATGGACAAAAAAGCCATTCTACCATCAATATATGTACCTTCATCAGAGCACGGATTACATCCGAAATATGCGTTATAATCTTTAACATTTAGCAAATATGATTTARCTGGTGCATCACACACAATATGTCCTATTGTAACATTAAATACCTTGCCATTTATTTGAATACCTAATTGTATGATATTTAAAATATCACTTAAAAAATAATTTAAAAAATCGTCTGATGAATCAGGTTTTTTTAAACCATGATAAATACYTACGGGTAAAACGTATCTCGATAACACTGGGACATTACAAATACTAATTAAAATTGGCCAAAATTGGCTTTTTGAACTCTTTGATATCGGTAAACCATCCACATTTACACCTAATTTTAAATCAGTAATGTCARATAAATCAAATTCATGCCTATGTAATAAAGAACTTATAATTTGGTTAATATCAAAGTGTACATAAGCGCCAGGTTYCATAGACAAAATGTTATGTTTTTTGGGTGTATTCATTAACGTTCTACCATCTTTAGGAACATTCAGACCCTCACTTTTTAAKATATTTAATAATTTGTTTAAACAATTATGAGAAACATTAAACTCTACATTCCAATTTCTTAATTTATCACATATACCCATTTGATCATTTGAAATAGTACTGTCAAAATTATTGACWATTATTTCAGGTATTAAATTATCAATTAAAGGTTCTTCACTATTATTAATATYATCAGTACAAGTTAATAAACTTGGGATATCATCAGATATTATCAATATGTTACTTGAAATTTCATTTTGTACAGGAGAAGTTGTAATTTCTGGCATTGTATTAATCGTGGAAGTAGGTTGTTGCAGAGAGGACCTTAAATTGGTTATGCATCTATCTTGCTCAGTTTGAATAATTCTCCTCAAGTGACGACTTGTYATTTGACAAAGCTCTTTCCTTCTCTTTTTCTAGAAATAGTGTAAATAGGTACTTAACAAAATAGATCCCAAACAAAAACTAAAACATATTCTACTTTCAATCAAACATTTGACATTTATTTCATAAATACCAACATAATTAAGCTTTTATATATAATTATTAATTAATATAAATTATAAGTCTTTATACTTTTGTTAACTACTTTAGATTYATGTAAAATTTTTGAACACTGYGCATAAAATATTAATTTTAATAAAATAGTTATTATTAAAAAAGATAGAAATATTATTCTAATGATCTTTTGTATCTTGTTGTAGCATAACRGAACCAATCAGCTAAAATTGACTCAAATAAAGCATCACTATAATCTTTTTGRCCTTTCTTTATACACCCTGTAATAATAATTATAAATTTAAAAATATTGAAGTTAAATGTAAAAAAATAACTATTTATAAGTTTATTTACTTTTTAATACAACTACAATTTTAGAATCACATAATTTAGTAGAAATATCTTTTCCTCTTCCTGTCCATGAACAAYGTATGGCAAACTCATCAGTAAAAGATTTTGCAAGAACTCTCTTTACGTTATCTTTWACTGCGTTCCCACCAATAGATATAAAAAAATGTTCCTGAAGTTTTTAAATAAAATTAAAATTATTTTTGGTATGAATTTAAATTAATGATTTATATTATTATAATTATAACAATATATGTGCCACTAATGAAACAAATGAATCGTCCAACAAACAGTTTGAAACATGTTGAAACATTTGCTCATTGTTCATGGGCCAATTTGACATAAAATTGTCATCGAAATTGGGTAATACAGTTGAAGCGTTATTAATTAATCCAATTTTATTAACAGCTCTTTCAATATTATTAAGTTTAGACAATAAATGGTCATACTTAATTCGACTTTGAATTTGCTCCATATAAATTAMATTTAATAATTCCATAATTGTATTTG